GATTTGCTTCTTCAAGCTCTTCAAGTTTACCATCACCAAAGTGTGTTTCATGGGCTCCTGGTGGGCCTTTCCCCTTTCCATAGGCAAAATTGTCTGGGGTGACCAGGCCCTGGGCTCGGGTCAGTGGACCTCACTAGCCTAGCAGCAGCAGGCGACCCCATGGTCTCAGCCCCATTGGGGCTGCTCCCCAACCCCAGTTGCCCACCACTCAGCCATTCCTCTGAGCCTCTAGCGGTGGGCTCTGTGTTGTAAGTTTTGAGATTGGAAAGTGAGAAGCCTCCTACTTCTTCTTCTTTAGTAATGTTTTGCTTATCTAGGAACTCTTTTCTTTCCATATAAAGTTGGAGATTAATTTTTCCATCTCTTTAAAAAATGATGATGAAATCTGGACTGGATTTGCATTAAATCTTTAGATCACTTTGAGTGGTGTTGACATTTCACATTGTCATTTTACAATGTCTTTCTATCCATAAGCATGGAATATGCATCTATTTATGTACAAGTCTCTTTGGTTTCTCATGGTAGTGTTTTATAGATTTCTTTTTATAGGCCTTTTGTTTCTTTGGTTAGAATTATTCCTGAGTATTTCATCTTGTGGGTAGTTGTTGTAAATGGTATTGTTTTCCTGATTCCTTCAGAACTCTACTTGTTGGTCACACTGGACTATTAATTTCACATTGCAGACAGATAACAAGTACCATATAGTTTTTTAAATGATCTTCCCACATTTTTACTTTACCTCATAATCCCTTGTCTTACGAGGGTCACTGCAATAATATTTAACTCCTGGATTTGTGGCTACTGTCAGATTTCCCTCTGTTGTTTCTCCTGGCCTCTTATTCCCATCTACCTACTCCTGGTGGGTATTTGATTATCTATCTGTTCCCTGTTTTTCTCTTCAAGATAATTTTGTCTTCTAATTAAAATTTCTTTTCCAGTTGCAACTAGCCCTTACATTTCAGTTCTCAGTGAAGTCCTTGAAATCATTCTTTAATTTTCCTTTTAAAACTAGTTTTAATAACTTAATCTAGCAATTCCATTTTTAGACATTTGTCCTATGGACATATAAATATATCTATTAGGAGAGTAACTGCAGCATTATAAAATTTAAAAATTTAGAGGCAACTTATATATTCATTCATGAACTGGGAAATGGTTTAATAAATACATCCATCCCATGGAATATTTTATATCCATTAAAAGTAACAAGATAGATCTGTTGAATGAGAAGATGCAGTTACAATACAATGATTCCTACTTGATAAATCAGAAACAAAAACAAATATTCGTGTGTATGTTGTTGTTGTTGTTAAGTACCATTGAGTCAATCCCAACTCAGGATTTCCAAGGAGTCGCTGGTGAGTTTGAAATGCCAACCTTGCTGTTCAAATGACCTGCGGTCCACTGCTTATGCTACAGTGCCACAACAGGACTCCATAAGTGTGTATGTATGTTGTTTTTGTTAAGTGCCATCAAATCAATTCTGACTCATAGTGACCCTGTATAGTGTTTCCGAGAAGTGGGTTTGAAATGCCAACATTGTGGTTCAAACCAACCTTGTGGTCCAGTGCTTCATCCTACAGTGCCACACCAGGACTCCATATAAGTGTATAGAGAGATCTAAAGTATATATTAAACTTAATAGAGAAGTTATTCTAGGAGAATGAGATTTAGTGTGAGGTGAGGAGGGACTCTGCATTTTATTCTTATCTCCATTTCAATCTAAACATAATCAAGATGGAATTCTTGAAATCACTCTACTACCAAGCCCTTCTCTTCCTTTGATTTTCTCCATTTTAGTAACTGCCCAGGTGTACTATTCACCTATTTGTGTAGGCCCAAATTCAGATTTCTACATAAGAACATAAGGAAGTAAAAGAGTTGAAGAAAAATATTCCAAAGGGCAGCCCAAGAAGACTGAGTCAAATATTATAGTGAAATGTGCAAAGACCTGGAGTTAGGAAAGGAAAGTTACAAAA